TGCTGATCCAGAAGCAAATAATTCAAAGATTTCAGCTCGAGCTTCTGGTTCTACTTCTGATATAATGTCATCGTAGCTCTTTTTCTCAGTTGTGTTTATATTATCACTTTTTGAAGTATTATTATTATTCTTTTTCACAGACAGATTCATTGCAAGTGTTTGATGATTGTTTGTTGTGGAAATATGAGACACTGTATCCAGTGTAGATGCTATATCCTTTATTATTTCCTTGTTCCTATCATCTTCCTCACTCTCATTACTAACCTGTGTGCTCTGTTCTAGGTCATAGTACATTATCGGTGTATCACCCTGATATTCTTTCTCAGAAGAATTACTATAATCTTTCTCAGAATATTGGTCCTCATCTTCAAATATCCCACTACTGTTAACGTTAATTGAATCAATAAGAAAGTGTTCTTTATCTTTAAAGCTAACAGACAAGTTGCTCGTTGACTTTGAGCGTTCTGTAGGACTTAATATCTTCTCGATGCTCAATGTTGATCCTTTGTCCTCAAAGTGGCTCTTGGAACTGTCAATGGAAGGGTTACTGACTTCTCCATCCTTCATTATAAGCCAAACAGGAGACACACCGCTTCGTCCCTTCTTGTAATCGGTGAAATCAGAGAATTCCATGATTTCATCCTCGTCTAAACTCTCGGTTCTGGTTTCATCACTGCTTTGCGATTTCACGACGGCATCATCAGCTTGCACGAGTTCCATGGAATTCGTTGCAACCGGCAACGGCATCCGTGTCGTAATCGTAACTTTGCTTTGCGGAGGATCAAGGCCGGTGAGACTTGATTTTGCAATTGTTGCATTTTCAGCTCCTGAATATATTTTACTGTCATTCACTCTACTTGAAAATGATCCTCTTGTGCCTGTGTGGTTCTTGTATAAAGCAAGATTCTTGGGAACAATCGAAAATACAAATTCTTCATCTTTCCGAGAATTCTTCGCTTTTACAGATTCCGTGGCGAATGTCCATTGTGGTTTCCTCGTAGTGGATAGTTTCACAAACGAGTTGGATATCATCTTTGCTGCTTCTTCAACGTAATCTTCAGTCTCTTCGACATCTTGCCTCTTCAAAGCGTTGATCACATCGGCTTTGCCCTTTAACAAATCATTTAGAGTCAAATTTCTCTGTTGTAGAATCTCGGATAAGCTTAAACCTTCCTCCTGTTGCATTTTCAATAGAGATTTCAATTCCATAGCATTTTGTAAAAATGGAGCGTTTTTAGAGGCCATCTGCTGAGGACTTCCTTGAGTATTTGCTCGAGACCAAGGTCCAGAATTACTATATGTTCTCTCCTCATTCAACGATGTCTCGTTTTCGGCTAAAGCAAATTCATAATTTTGTGGTGGCCTTCTTTTTCTTGGTCGAGGTTTTAAGTACTCTTCGTCATTGAACTCATGCTCGTAATCATTCGGTCGTACTGGAAAAAGCTCTCGATACCTAGTTGACGTTGTTTCTTTATCCTCTTTAAAATCTTTATTTTGCTCTTCCTTTCTATTGCTCGCTTCCTTCATAGTAGCCGTATTTTCGCCAGTCCAGGGTCGATTTCTTTTTCGTGAAAAGACTTCTTCCCGTTCACGATACCCTCGCCTGCCTTCTGTTGATTGGTAGCCTTCATAATTGCTGTAAGATAATGGAGGGTTATTCCTTGAACGATGAGAATCTTCTTGTCTGTTGTTTTGACGATACTTTGCTCTACGATGATCGTAGTCATCCTCCTCGCTGTTGTCTATCTTGTCCCTCGAGAATCGGGAGAATTGGGAAAATGGCAGCAATGGTACAGTGTCGCCATCTCGCCACTTCGGTTCGAGAGCCTCGCCGTTGTTTCTCCATTTGCCGACCAGTTCAGCCGCGTGCTCGTCTATGATTTCCAACCGACCTCGAGTCTCCTTCTAAAAATAATTTAATGTTGATAAATCCTCGCTGGATCGAATTACTAGATGTGTGGAAGGCTGAAATAACAGATTCTTTTAGCAGATTCTTAGAAAGTGCTTCGCAAAAGAGAAGCAGTAGCACGTGCTTCGAAGAAATTGAAAGTTCAATTGTTCGTTCAGTGGTAAATTGAATATGGAACATAATTCATTACCTAGAAAATATTGCGTCGTTTTGTTCATTCTTATTTACTTTTAAATTATTTATTGAAATTAATTATATCTTAGTTGATAATTTAGTAATTACTTGATTTCTTCATATTCATCATAATTGTATATTCTTTAATTGTTTGCGTTCTTTTTTATTTCAGTTCAGTAAATTTTGAAATGCACAATATTTTCTAGTACAAGGTTATTGAGTATGTAGAGACTTATACTTCTTAACTGAATAATATTCTTGAACGTTTTTATAACTTGTGAAGGCAAGGTTAGGTTATATTGTACTAGCTTGCGAATTTAATTGAGTTGTAATAATTTTCCAATACTAAATAGAGTGGAGGGGAAAGACATAGATTATTGAAGGATACTTTATAATACAGTGAAATCTATTGAGTCTATATTTTTTTTCTTTTCTTTTTTGTAATAAAGTTGCATGTTAAGTATGCTAAAAAATTACTTCACTGAATGTAAAATCATTGTAAATATTTTCTAATGTGCTTGTACAAGGTTTTTCATGATATTGTTTATATAATTTACATAAATTTCTTAATTTTAGTAGAATTTATGCATACAGAATATTGATGGTAACTAATTTATAAATATGTATAATTTAGGATTAATTAATTAACTTATTTAGATGAAGTTATAAATCAAGTTAAAATAAAAAGAAATGTTATTCCATAATGACAAAAACTTGTGATATTAAATTAAAAAATTGTACTATTAAATTAAGTAACAATAATGTAAGCTGGAAATTTGATAATACTATATAAATAATTAATCAAGATCAAATTAATATTTCGTACAAAGCAAAAAATACAGTTTCACACTAAAGTAAATTTTTTAGGAGAAGATATACGGTCACGTTAAGAAAGACTCCATTAAACCATATAACATTTTCTTCTAGCAATTTCTCTGTCTTCACTCACAGAAGATTTATAACTTGTCCCAATTTCTAGAATCACCCTATACACATAACCGCACTTTTTCTGAACATCATTCAAATTAAATAGAATAGTCTGAGGATCAACATTAAAGAAAGTTGACGTCTTGAGTATTCCATTGAATTTTAATAGCAAAATATTTTTCTAACATCATGTCGTTAATATGCCGTGTAGCTTTCTTAACCCTATAGTTTATAAACAAGGTTAAGCATTTCTTAAATCGAGTATAACAATTGATATAAGAATTCAATTTTAACAAATTTTTTCGTAACAAAATATAGTTTCTGATACCATTTCAAAGAATAATGAAAATTCTCCATCTTTTCGTATTTCATTATTATATTTAATTATTCTATTACTTCTACACTTGACATGATCTCGGCAGTAGTACCATAATGCGTTTCCGCTACTGACATCTGAGGGTATCGTTAGAATTCGGTCAGTTTCGAACTAAGCGCTAAAGCGTGTTCACGCAAACGAACAATGGCGAATGTAAATCGTGAACAAAGTTCAGTGCCTATAAAAATGGAAAGTGACGTCCAAGCGTAATTCGTGCAATTACAGTGTACACAGGGGCAACACTGAGCAAAATTGTTCATTGTAAATTCCATGCATGGGCCATTTTTCTTGAATTTTATCGATCAATTTTTTCTCTTAACTTTTCTTTAATAATTTTATCTTTTATGGTATTTTTACTATTCGCGACGTGAACTCCATTCTAGGGATAGTTATCACGTAAACGTAGTCTTATTGATTACTTATATTTAGATTTTCGGTTTCATATTTAATACGTTTCATGCTAAGTAGACCTCTGGTGACCCATAGCGAACTTTCTAGTTAGGTCATTCAGAACGTATCTCATCTGGTATCGTTTGGACGTAAATGACCGTACAGTATAGGTTAGGTTACTTGACTTTACTGTATATCCTGTATTTCAATCGATAATTGTTATTAACGATCTTTATCTTTATCTTGTAAAATATGAAGCACAGGCAAGAATTAATTACCATCGAAAATATATAGAATATTTGTACTGACATGTACCTTCAAAGTAGACACAGTGTGGTAATTATTTTCTACTAAGTAGCCGTGCCATATGGAGAGACGTATTTCATATTTCTAACAATGCTTTATTGTCTAGCTTTATATATCTGTCTTTATGTTCCATGTTCATTGTCTTATCCTTAAAAGTAAAGAAAGAAAATAATCAAAAAATTAAGTACACGGTTGTACTAAAAAGAAAGATGCACATATTATAATTTTAATTATAAATTATTTTCATAAAGGTATTTAATTTGTTTCGTATTCTTTTATATAAAATCTATACAGAAAAGATAAAAGAAAGTCAAAAATTTGTTTTTATAAAAGAAGTAATTTTAAAATGAAATGTTTTTAACCAATCTCATATTAGAATTACATGTGTATTTTTGTTGTTTTGAATGTTTGCATAACTTGGTGAATACATCATCTATTTTTAAGAAATTTATGTTCTCGCCTAACCGGTTATTCCCCTTTTCAGTTATGTCATATTAAAATATTAATTTTTTACTAAAAAAGTAGTATCAAGAGCAGAAAATCGATGAAAGTAGATATATACGACGAAAATAGTATTAACATGACTATATATTAATAATAATTAATTAAAAATTATTAAATTAATAATTATATATTAATAGTATTAAATTAATTGTTATTAATATATAATCATGTTAAAACTATTTTTCTCGCAAATATGTTTGTAAAAATTTAACATTGAAATTAATATATGGATAAATGTAATCTACATCATATCAATTTCTATGATCATAGTCATTCAAGGTCATTAGAGAATATATGTATGTACATAAAAAAAAGTAGTAGAAGAAATAATTTAATTATTCATTCCATTTTAAAAACTTATGATAATAATTCCAATTTCATACATTTATTTCAAACAAATTAATTGTGTAATTAAAGGAAGGAATAATTACAAAATTTTTGCAAAATGAAAGTCGATTCGAATGTCCCTTAGCGTTTGCTCAGGTGCAACTACTTTCTCCTTACCTACGACCTTGATTGACCCTGAATAACCATGGTTGGTGAATTCGTCAGGATGTGAATTACGTTAATGAATATTAAAAAAAAACACTCGGTTCTGTTTAAAATACAGTCAGCGACCTAGAAATCTTTAATGTTTAGAAAAATAAATTAAATCAAACAGTTGGCTTTCTAAAACACTTCAACTTTGCCCATTAACTAGACTATCATTTTTATGTAGATGCATATTTTTTATAGAAGATAAGTAATAAAGTGAGTCCTACATAGAAATTTGTTCATTCTAGAAAATTTTAATAGTGTACTATTTATTTTGCATCTTTCATATTTTTTTTTTTTTACTATTACATTAGTCGTTATTTTCTAAAATTTCATATTATTTATTACACCTAAAACAAATTTAGTAAGAATTAGAACGTATGCAAACGACGTACACGATACCAAGTCATTTTCAATTCGCACGATTACTAAATGAAGTTGAAAAAAAATTTACGAACATAATTGAAAATGTCGGATATAATGCTGAAATGAAATGTAGTAAATTGAAATATGCAGGTCATTGATTAATATTGGCAAATATTAATAAATTATTACATTGTAATACAATGAAATAACATAGTAAATGCTTATACTTCATTTGCAATTTAAATTATAATCATAATATTTAAATAATAAAAATTCTGTTAGCATGGTATATTTTTCATGGAATTATGCATATATCAATATACTACTATAAATTATATTTCTATATTTCATATATTTTACTTACATAATATTTCAAATTCATTATCTACAATTAAAATATTTATATTAATTAGATATGTCTGAAAATTTTAGTTGTCACATTACTGCTTCTCCTGTCAAATTGGAGATACTAACCTTCTTCAGCGTCATGTAATTTACTAGTACATTGGTAAAAAAAATAATTTATTTGGAATAATTATTAGCTCTTTGGTTTCAAATTAAATTAAAAATTTTAATGGGTTAGAATTTCTTTCCCTCGTATGGCAAAACAGAATACAGCATTTAGGACGTTAAACGTAATTGCTTCTTCCTAGTAAAGGAAAGAAAAACAAAGAAAAATTGAGTTATAGAGAGTTAAGTCACTTTTTGACACGTATAGTAAATTCTAGAACATTACGTTGCGTTTTGATGTAGAAACGGCTCGATGATTTTCTTCCCGCTTACTTTTGCAAACAAGCTACGTTCGCGCGTGAGAAACGACACGAGAACGTCATTATTTTGCGCGGATTCCTTGCGATCACGATCAGTGTTATTTCCAACCGTAACGCATAGATGGCATCATCCTTTTTCTTCGCGTATGTCTTGTTACTTTCGAACGTGACTTTATCATTCGTATTAAATAACGTTAAAGAGAAAAAAAGAAGTGGAACGAATTTACTTCCTTCGAAATAGTTTTACGTTTGTACTTTCCATTATCAACTATCGATCAAGAAGTTATAAAACTGTATACTGTATACAATTAACCATAAAATATCTTAGCGACATCTATCGGCGCAAGCGAACACGTTTAGAATTGATTGCGCATGTTTCATCGCTGGATATAATTACTGCAATTAATATCGCTAACGACGATCGTTTGCCGTTCGATGCTCGCAGTTTCTCTTCCTTTTTCCGTTTCATTCTACTCCGATCCATGAGCGTGACGATGACTGAGAGAATACAGAGAACGAGCGAGGTTTGTTTAAACGCCTGAAGTATGCGACAAAGTGTTTGCGAAGTCTCGAACTTTCCGTGCTCCGTGCCAGCTTTCTCTTTCTCTCGCTGCTTACGCGCTACCGCGCGGCCAGTTTTTTCGTTTCGTCTGCCTCGACGCGCGTTTTGACATTTGCTGTCTTCGGAAATGTTCGTAAAATGACGAGAAGCTTGAGGTAAACTTCGTTAATATTCTGCTTATATCAAACAATGAGACAAGTGACAAGGTTTTCGAAGTGAAATCATATTCTAAAAGTTTTTGCTTTTTTCCAGATGATTTTTGCTTTTTTCCAGATAAAACATAACCTAATACTTAATGGGTTTCTGTTTTCAATTTATTATGAATGATGACTCGCTTAGCCATATATCCGCATTGTTTATGATTAATTCCTTGCATATATATTATTAATACAAAACAGAGGAAAAAAAAGTAAAAAAGAAGAGAAAAATGAACGATTTATGCGTTATTATATTCTTTGGCGAGCTTTACCCTAGAGGATATATATGTATATATCTCCATATTGACTGTTACTGATAGGCGGTGACTAGCCACCTGTTACTTCCATCGCATTCTTGTTTTTGTAGCAACACGATAATCGATAATACGGTTACGAGTAACCACTTTATTTTAATGATGCATTTCGAAAATCGATAAATTATTAAATAGATCGAAATCGAAGATTATTATCTTCATGAAATACTAAACAGCTATCGACTCGGTACAATATTATTTAATATCATTTAAAAAAATATCTGTACAAAGAATTTATGTACCATCGATAAAATTAATAGAATTAATTTTTACTTTTATTTTTACGAAGTAAACTTCCGGTGAAGAGACGAGGGACTTTCTATATAGACTATTTGGAACCTAATGCATTCTGTACTACTAAAAATATTATTTACAGTGCTATTACAGTGAATGATACTCCTCACGAGAGATTGCGTATTGCTTTCATTAGAGATGTATTTATATTAGGTAATTTCTCTTTGAACGTACTGTTCACTATTCTGTTTGTTTTCCTAAATCTTTTTGTCTACATGCAAAAAAGAAAGGAAAACGCGGTAGTTGCGTTAGTAGCATTGCATAGATAATTGAATCGACGCAACACGTATGCGTTAGTAGTAACGCACGTATTAAGCATGTACATTGATATACAATATTTCATCATATCGTAAGTTAGCGCATAATTAATATGCATAGAGAAATAATTTCAATTATTGTATTCTAATAAAGTACACACAATATATAGCAATCATTTTTAAATAATTATCATATAGAGAGATTTATTTTAAATTCTTCAATCTTTTTGTAAATCTTTTTTGTACATTTATTATTTTATTTTTTTAAAGGGAAAATATAAAAGAATGGGGTATCTAACTAGCAGAACCTATACCTGAAGTTATTTGAATATCAAAATACAGAGACTTAAGCAAACACTGGTTTATTCATTATTTAGTATCATTTATTGTAAAATGTTAAAATAGCAAATTATGTTTATATTTGCAGTATTGATCTTTCTATATGTGGTAAATGTTGAAACAGGACTTAATTGATTTTGGGATATAAATTTTTCAAAAGATATTTTCATAGATAATGAATTTGTTATTAATTGACATTAAAATGACAAGAGTATTTTACTAGTAAGAGGATTATGTAAAACAAAATGGTGAATCTTAGAAATGGAAGACATGTTTAGACCAAGTTAGACTATAACATGAACAAAGAATATATATTTTAAATTTTAAGTAGACATGTTGGAATGTCTTCTAGGAACTACATAAAGTGAAAGAAATAGAGAAAAAGAGGCTGTACGCGTGCAAGGATTTGTACTTGGAGAAAATGTGTGCGCGAGACAGTTAAGAGTGACGAATCAGAGTTAAGAGTTAAGAGTAGAGAATGGAGAAAGAGAGTTTTGAGAAAACTGAGAGTAATAGTTTCAAGTGAGAGTGTTTACTCAGCTTATTTGTCATTATATTATATTATCTTATCTTTAAATATAGTTATCTTGTTTGAATCTTTACGTATTAAGAAAAAAACACGAACATAACCTAAAATTCGTCATTTAAAACAAAGAGAAAAACATTGATGAAATACATATTTGTTAATCATGAAATACAAAAATAATCAAGTTGCAGCAAAACATAATTTATATCATTCACTATTGTAATATTTCTAAATACTTTTTCAAAAATGATTTTGTCAAATCATTCATGATATCCGACTAAAATGAACCGTGTAAATTAACACTAATTATCATCAGTCGATAAAAAGCCTGCACAAGAATAGAGAATCTTTTGTATTTACGTTAGATTGGTCACAATTTATGTCTTTTCGATTTCTCGCTTTCCTTTGATTCATTAAATTACGAAACGGAGGAGATTTGAATTAATTGGCACCTAGAGATGTCGCTTAGATCATTTCGCGAAGATAGCAGGATATTAGCGTCCGATGCGTTTGCACGCAAACTTGTCGGTGAAAACTCTTGAGCATTTCACGACGTACCTGTTCCTCCGAGAAAAAATAAAAGAGGAAATACACGACCGGTTAAAAGAACCGAGTCCACGATCTCGAAAGGGACGTTCACCCCTTCGTTCGTGTGTTAGGTTAGATGTAGTAATTGGCTCTCTATACTTTACCGACCGAGTAATTTTATTATGAATCAATATCTCTTTTTTGAAGTTATTTTCTGCAAATGGAACAAAACATTTTTTGTTTTCCTTTTTTTTATGTATATTGTATATTTTTAATTAATCAAGATATTAAAATAATTCCATTGTCCACTTAAATAACTATTATTAGAATAGTTATAAGAAATTATTACGGATATTTGACCATTTTGTAACATGAAAATATTTAGGTTATAAATAAAGTAAAATCTATCGGTAACATTTTGTTGCTTAATTAGCTTTTGATGACGGTGATATTTTACGTTATAGTTCTAAATATGTCACCATATGACTACTAAAAGAACGAAATGGTTAATTGATTACTCTTGTTAAATGACGTTCATATGGTACTGTTATGATTGTGATTACGCGTGCCACTACCGTACTTTTTAGCACATTATATTTATGTACTTTTTGTAAAAGTTTTCATGCTTTGATAAATAAATGGGAAACAGCGGTTATTTAAATCGATTTGAGATAAAAACGTAAGAAGTGGATTAATTTATAAAAATTGTTCAAATAGAACTTCAATTTGGATAAAAAAAATGTGCATTGTCACGTTGTGGATAGAGACTGTAATAAATATATAAAAAGCAAAATAAAAAATCCATCTAATTTTTAATGGAACAGATATATATATATATATATATATGAAAAATAAAATAAAAATTATTTAATAGTCATTGTGCCAAAAATTGAAATCCAAAATGGATAAAAAAAGAAATTAATTAAGATAATTGAATTTTTTTTGTATTAAAAGAATTTGATTTATGTTAACAAGATTTTAAATTTATAATTTGTTTCCAAAATAAATTTTCTTTTGTTTTTATAAAAATTATAATATATTCATTTTCTTTTTACACCCGCTTATTTAATTATTTAATATATCAAATACAGTTTGCCTTCTATTTCACAGCTTATGACAGAAAATGGCCCATTACTAAATGACATTGCATTTTTTCATCAAAACTCATTCATGATGAGCAAGCAATATGCGTTGTCCTTCAATATCTAAAGGTCACATGTTTTAGATCTAGTTAACAAAGCAACGCTACCTGAACCGTTTATTATTCGAGTATTTTTAAAATTAAAAGATTTTGATTAATTTGATTTCAAACTGGTTTCCGAATTGTATAAAAATTACTTTGCACTTTAATAGATGAAAAGATCAATAAAAAGTTAAATTATTAATACAATGTTCAATAATTAACATAATTTCTATTTAAATTCTATAAAGATGACGAAAAATAATCAATAATAATTAAAATACGATAATAATAAATAATAAAAATTGAAAATATAACATTGACAAATCATCTAAAATTGTTAAAAATTTAAAAAAAAATAATTTTTTATCTAATATTGTCAAGGTATTGAGAAGGGCCCATCTCTATTAAATGCCAAAAGGATAATTTCCAATAAAAAGATTCACGAAGTGGTATTCTAGATTTATTACTTCCTTCTAATATATATATACTCATAGGTATAAAACGTGTGATGTTCTGTATGGTTGATCATGTAACACAAGAAAAAGATTGAATTATCTCCACTTACATGTATTTTTACTATATGCTTTTTAATTTGATTTAAATGCAAGGCGCCATTAAACGCCATATCACAAAATTAAAAGAGAAAAGAACTTCTATAACTCACATAAAACACGCACATTGGCTGTCAAAAGTTTTTTTACCAATGTAGAATTTTATTACATTATTAAAAGAAAAGCTTTTAAAATAATGATCAGCTGCATAAAAATGACGTATTTTATATTTATACTTTATCAGTACAATAATAGAATACAATATTATTAACATTAGAACTACCAATTTGTTATAATAATATAAGTATACTAAATATACTATGCAGGTATCTTTATATTATCATCATCTATATGTCAACACAAAATTGTTCTTTTCTCATAATTTATTTAATACCAGTGTTACCAACTTGTAATGTGTATCCAGATATGATATATTTAGATAAGAATAATTAAAATATCATAGTAAAAATAAAGTACACAATCACGTTTTTATATAAATAAATATCAACATTAATTTCACCAAAAATATTTTCAGTAAGCCCAAAAATGAATCATACAAAACCTATTATTATAACCACTTTGATAGTTCTAATGTTAAACTTTTTACAAGAGCAATTTACATAACCTTACAGTTGCTCTACACTTTAAATGGAAATAATACCGTAAACTGACCAAAATCTTCTAACAGCCATTGTATCTAAAATTTCACGATACATAGATCCCGTAGGAAAATACCGTAACCTCACATAACCTATACCTAACCTGTAGGACGAAAATTCGCGGAGCGACGGTCGCGCGAATCGTGAACTGGTCCGTAACTTTTGATCTGCGATGTAACTGAAATTTCTCTTTCGTTCCTTACCCGATGGTTCTGATCATCGTCTCGAGGAACGAGCTCGGCGTTCGCTCGAACGGGTTCGGCTCCTGCTAGGCTATCGCGAGGGAAATCGAACGTGAAAAGCATCAACAAGAGCAGATAGAATGTTTTCCACATCGTTGCAGTGCGATCGAAACGCGGACAGCTCCTCGTCGTCGAAGCACCAGTTCGCTCGTAGCTCCTCCACGTTGACGTCGCTCCTCGGTTCCGCCGCCTTCGTTTCTCCGTCGGTTAGCAGGTGCACGCAGATCACCGCTGTACACAGGATAACGAAGATCGCGTTCTTCCTGTTGCACAGACCGACGATATCCTCAGGGTTCATGCAGAACCGTTCTATAGTCCTCCCTTGCCTCTGTTAATTACAATTCACGCGCTTCCGTCGCGGTTAATTGGCTTTTGTTCCAGGGGATCTTCCTCTTTGCGAACTCGTCTCTTTCCTTTGACGCTTTCCAAACGTTAAATCACGAACGATGAAACAGTGCAACAGTCTATCATGGAAACCTTCCACCGAACTTTCTATTTTACTTGGAAATATGTTTCTCTCCCTTCGCGTGTTTTCGTTGTAATTTAATTCAATTTGACGCAAAGTGCGTCGGTAATTTGTGTCGGTTGTTAATTGGGCGGGTAACGAATTTTCGTTACACGAAAACGTGTCTCGAGCACATTACGAACACCACGGCAGACGTTCGCGATCTACCATCTTTCTTTCCCCCAGATCCGACGATTGGATCCTTACGAACTGGTCTCTCTTGTTACTTTCGAAGCGGCACGCTCCTCCACGCCCGGCAAA